ATATGTTTTAACCTACTGGTGGAAGACTATTTAGACAAAAAGTGCCTTGCAGATAGAGGATAAAACATGTTCAAAGGCTTTAAAGTAAAAGATGAAGCATTTGAGGAACTGAAAGAAGGACAAAGTGGTTGGAGCTTAATTAAGAAGGTAAAAATGCTGCAAGATGAGGCTAGTGAAGTAGGTATGGATGGCCCAGTAGATCGATTAAGGATTTAGGACTTGATTCTAAGACCAAGGGAAACCTTTGCATGGTTTTAAATAACAAGGTGCTTTAATCTGATTTATATATTTTTTAAAAGATTATTGTGGCTTTTGTGTGAGAACTGGATTAGAGGAGGGGTACAGAGAATAAGGAATGACCTGTTTGAAGCTATTATTATAGTAGTATGGCTGAGAGGTGATAGTGGCTAAGACTAGGGTGAGATCATTGGAACTGGAAAAAATATGGATAGATTCGAGATATATTCAGGAAGTAGATTTAATAAAAAAAAAAAATCAAGAGTGACTGCTTGATTTCCAGTTTGTGAAACTGGATGGATGGCAACACTACTCAGTGAGGGAAGAATCCCAGGAGAGGAGTAGCTTTGGAGAGGGTCTCATGCTCTTGGATCTTTCCAAAGCATCCTGTAGATTGTCTCAGCCCCGTTTTCCTCTAAATTCTGTTTGAATGGGATGATTGTGTGGCCTTGAGGCTGTCGGTCCTTTGGTCATCACCATTCATTATTCTTTCTAACTCAGACTGCACAGAAAACCGAGGGGATTCTTGACATGGGACTCCTGAATATGCTTTTGAACCAATTTAAATAGGCTACAGTTATGCTGGTGAATTGCCTGCAAATTCAAACGAATCATTTGGTCAAAACATCCTGAAGGTTATAAAGAGTAGGATCAGCACTTTCTGCTGCAAAGAAGACAAATTCTAGTGGATTGAGGAGAGTGGGGATCTTGAGAAGGCACTAGCTTATGGAACGCATAGGATATGTGAGGGGATTGAGTTAAAGGAGGGACTCCGCCTCTAAACTAAAATAAACTAAAAAATAGTTTATTATATATAGCATTCAATAGTAGTGAATAAAAAACAGACTGGCAGAGTACAAAGGCAGGTAGTTTTGGTGAACAAAGGGAATGTTTATCTTGTGGCTTGTATTTCTCTCTGAAGTACAAAGCAAGGAATTCTGCTCAGTGTGAGGGGGCAAGGGCTAGAGAAGTTTGATATAGTTGTGGTGGACAGCTGGAGAGCATGTTGATTTGAGAACCTAGCAGAAAGGCTGGTAATACAGAAGTTCCCTGTGAGGTGGCACTCATGATGTTACAGTGGAACCAGTCTCCTCTGTTGGGTGACTTTCTTCAATGATGCTTACCTTCCTGTGTCCCAACAGGAAAGTTGGGTAATAGGGTTTACTCAGGGTGAGGGTTTTAGGACAGAGGAGCAGGGAAAGGACCCAGATGCAAGAGAGTTAAGCACATAATCAAGAAAGAATAAATGAAATAATGTATCCAAGAATCTCAACTAGGTGGGGAGAGAAGTAAAGATAAGAGAAAAATGGAGGAGTCAAGGTTTAGGGATCACAATGAGATTGAAAATAGTCATAGTGGTTGTGGTTGTAGATGGGATGTTTGAATTACTGAGTTTGGAAGAGAAGTAGGTCCAGGGTTCAACCTTGGGAGTAGGTGACCAGAGCAAGTGAGTAAAAAAGACATTGGGGAAGATACGGCATTAGAGTCAGAATTTTGGGTGGCAAGACTCTGTTTTGTTTTGCTTTTCTTTTTTTCCCAAATTTCCTTTAATGGAATAATTAGAAAAAATAGTTTATTATATCCACTGTAATTACCCATCCATTCAAATCTAAAGTAGTCTAACTTTTCTACATTATATTTATCTTTTATGCCAGAATTAAATTGTGTTTAATATGACAACTAAGCTGACATCTGAAAGGAATTTGCTCAATTTAAACAATAAAGACATGCTAGACTTTTTGTAAAAATTGAATGTATAACTCAAAGAATTGGTTTTGTAATTAGTCATATTTCTAATATTCAAAGGCATTCTCAGTAACATTCTTGAGCTTCAAATATATATATAAAGGGGCAGGCCCAGTGTCGTAGTGGTTAAGTTCATGCGCTCCTCTTTGGTAGCCTGGGGCTTGCAGGTTCAGATCCCATGGGCAGACCTACTGGCTCCTTATCAAGTGGCAGGCATCTCACATATAAAGTAGAGGAGGTTGGGCATGGATGTTAGCCCAGGGCCAATCTTCCTCAGCAAAAAGAGGAGGATTGGCAATAGATGTTCTAATCTTCCTCACCGAAAAAAAAAAAAATTACATATAAAGTGCTACTAATTGAGTATTTGTAAATATACTAAATACATATTTGTATATACACTATATAAATCTAAGTTTCAGGGACATGTCCTAAATCTGAAGTTTTCTAGGCCCTGAATCCTGGATAAATGGATACATGATACTATCAATTTTTAGTTGATCATATTCATATGAAGAACAGTGATTGCTGAAAATATCTTTAATCTTATACTTGAATATGCAAACTGATATTTCACTTGTAATTGCAGACTCATAGAATAAGAATAATTGAACTGGAAAGGAATTTAGAGATTGTTTAATCTAGTGGTTTTCATAGCGTGGGCCTCTGATCAGTAGCATCTGTATCACCTGGGAACTCTAAAAATGCAAATTCTCAGGCTGACTCCAGACCCACTGAATCAGAAATTCTAGGGGTGGGGTACAGCGATCCGTTTTAACGAGACTTTCCAGGTGATTTTATGCATGCTAAAGTTTGAGAACCATTGGTTTAATCCATAATTCTCTTTTAAAGTTGGGATTATGGAGTCCCATAGAGATTAGCTGAAATTAATAACACTTAAAAATAAAACAAGGGACTTTGTCTGAAAGATCCTAACTCAGATTGCTTAAAAGATATCTTTTATTTAACTGCACCTTGTTTCCCATTCCATGTGTATTAGTTCTCTATGGCTGCTGTAACAAATTACCATTAACTTAGCAATTTAACAAAGATTTATTATCTTACAGGTCTGTAAGGTCAAAATCTGTCTCATTGGGCTAAAATCAAGATGTCAGCTTTGCTTTCTAGAAGCTCTGGGGGAGAATCACTCTCCTTGCCTTTTCCAGCTTCCGCAGGCCACTCACATGCCTTGACTTCTGGCACCTTCTTTCATTTTCAAAGTCAGCATGTATGTATTTTAAAATCAGAGACTGTGTTTTAAAACTACATTTTGGAGTAGACTGTGTTTTAAAACTACATTTTGGAGTCTGTGCATGTGAGTCCAGTCACTCACGCCTGCCTGTTATCTACACAGCTCAGCATTATACTGTCATTGGCACAGACCCTATGTCAGAGAGCATCACAATAGATCATTCAATATCCTCAAGCAACAAAAATGACAAACTGTAATAGATTATATTCATTATACTACTCTTACTAAATCAGGAAAGATTCCTGGTTCATTTTAGGAAAAAATGTTAAAAGAAGTTTTAAACAAAAAGGTTTTCTGCTTATGTCTAGGTAATAAAGCACACTAGTTAGAACAGTTCATTCCCCAAAGATTGCACTTAATCATAGTTTTTCTGCATCATTTTAATTGCTGTTGAATTTTCATTGATATATAGCATAGATTTTCGTTTTTTAAAGAGGGGTAGTGAGGAATTTAAGAAAAATGTTCCATTACAGGTCTACACACCTAAAAGTTGAATTTCGGTGGTGGGAGTCTGCATAGCTTCTTTCCTTTTCTGTATTTTCCAAATTTTCATTAGTGAACATGTCTTACTTTTATAATTTTAAAAAATGAAATGAAAGAGAAAGGAAAAGAAAAACGAACATGACCTAGTCACCTGCAATTATAAGGCCTGACTTGCAAGGCAGGGTATGGTCTTTGAAGTCTCGGGCACGGAAATGATTTTTTGTTTTACACTGTCATCCAAAGTGTACTGTAGAATCTTCCCTGATAAATTACTTTGAAAACTTCTTTCAAAATGAATGAAGGCCACAAATCATTTTCTAAACATGTGACTGCACTACCTCACTCTACCTTTTCTCTTCAGCTGGCTAGGGTTTAAATTCCAAGGCCGCCTAAAGAAAGGACCTGAGCATTTCTCAGGCCAGCGCGGTGCCCGGCGCC